GCACGCCAGCTACGGCCCCACCTAGCTGGCAGTGCTCCCCACACTGGGCCAAAACACGCCGTTTTAACTATTTATTGTAGAAAGTTTGTAGGAAGCTTTTTCTCCCCCCCGCCCCAGCGTTCGGAGCAGACGGGGCAGCAGCAGCCACATCCCCCGGGGGATGCACAGGGTCCTGGCCCAATAAACGTCATCCACTGCCACTGCCTTGCACCTCGTCTTTCCAAGCCCAGGTTTTCCTGGGGGTTTGGTAGGCTGGAGCCTGGAGAGGGGTGTGAAGCGCTGGTTCCCCCCTCGATGCACTGGCAGGCTGAAGGCGCTCTGGGGGAACATGTAATGCTTTGACCAGGAAAATGCCACATTTGGGAGGCGGCTGCTGGCAGGGCAGACACCAGGAGCACCTTTATTTAGCGTGAAGAAGGGCTGCGACACACCTACAACGTTGAATCGGAATAAAAGTTAAAGCTTCAGCGCTAAACCCTGGAGATTTGCCGAATGGGAAAGATTAATGAGCTCCAGGCAGCGGGGCTGCAGGTTGGGCTGGCCGGTGCCGGGGAGCAGGAGGGATGGGGGGACAGAGGCAGCCCCCCCTTTGCTGCCACAGCGCTGGGGTGTTTGGCTGCTTACTGAGGGCACAGCACTGCTCAGAGATGGGAGGCCGCGGGGATGGGCCCCATCTCAGAACTGACCCTCTTCTAGAAGGGCAGGAGACAAGGGGGTGCCGGCCGCAGGAAGCACATGCTCCTCCATGCTGAGGGCTGCCCCGGTGAGTCCAGTGAGGGGAACTGGGGAAGGGCCTTCCCAGACCACCGGGACGGGCTGGGGAGGGTGTGGGATGGGACGCATCCCACGGGGGACCAACCTGGGGCCGCAGGGTGAGTGGCAGGTGGGACCCCAGCATGTCGAGGCAGGAGGCTGAAAGACCCTTTCTCGCTCCCCAGCAGGGCCGGCGTGGGGCTGGGATGTTCACCGTGAGCCAGCGCAAGCAAAGGTGTCCCTCCAGCCAGCGATGCGCCCACGCAGCCGCCATGGTGCAGCCAGCAGCCCTGCGGCAAGCCTCCGCCACCCCACCAGCCCCTCGCGCCTGTCCCATTTGTGCCGCATTAGGACTCGCACCCCCTCAGCTGCCAGGCCTGGCCCAAGTTGATCGGTGACACATCCCCCTGTCGCCATCAGCCACGCCACCTCCAGGGCCAGGGGCCCTGTGCCATGCCAGAAGCCAGGGGTCCCCCGGGGCTCCTCGCCACACCGGGGCTGCGTCACCTACACCCTGCAGCAGGTCGTGCGCTGCACCCTGGTCCTCATGAGGTGCAGGGTGCCGCAAGCTGTGCCCTGGGGTGGCGCCTTCCCCACCCTCCTGATGGGGGCAGCAGCGACCCCGCCATCAACGGCAGCCCCACGCCCGCCGTCTCAACCCAGAGGAAGAGGAGGCTGGTCTGCACTGAGCTTGGTGCCGTGGTCCTACTGTGAGAGGGCACCCGCTGTGACCGACCATGGCTGCTGGCAATAAATTCACAGTGCATTATGGGCTCTCCTGGCCTCAGAAAACATGGGTGTGTAGCCCTGCCCTGCAGAGCAGCCTTGGCCCCGCAGCATCCCTCTGTCCTGCTGCAAAAACCCACCTGGGACAGGTGGTTTTCTGGGCCCTGGTGCAGATTAACGAGGCAAACACCAGGGCAAGAAGCAGGGCTGTAAAGCTGGGGTGAAGGCAGCTATGGGGGTCACCCAGGAGCAGGCAGGGGGCTGGGAAGCCCCCACTGGGGCTGAGAAGAGGGAGGCAGGCAGCTGGCAGCCCCTGCCTGCACAGCGCTGACCCGACCCAGCCAGGGGCAGCCTGGCAAGCAGCTGCCCGCCCCACACACAGAAAACCTGCCACCGAGGATGGGAAAACAGCATTTCTGTCCCAAAACAGGAGGGGAGGCGAGGCTGGAGCCCTCCTTCGCCCTGCACCTCCTCAGAGGCACAGGTTAAGCCCCAACATGAAAGGGAGGGCTTGTTTAGAGGTCCCTGGGGAGCAGCAGCGCCAAAGGCTTCTCAGTGAGTAGAGACACCCAGGGCAGACGACCCCAGCCCCAGCCATTCCTGCCTTCCCGCTCTCTGCCAGCACCAGGGTCTTTTCAGGCTGGGAAATCCATCAGTTAATTGACTAAAAAAAAACCACAAAAACAAACAAAGACAAGCCAATGTACACAGGATTTCCAGAAAGCTGGGCTGGAGCTGAACAGCGCTGAATACACAGCCTTACTTAACAGGCTTTACAAAACAAGCCCGGAGGGTCCCTCCCCTCCCTCATCCCAGCAAGAAGCCAGCCTGAGCTGAGGGGGGGGTTGCTGGATCTGGCCCCAGTCACATTAACCCTCTTCTGCTCTTGCCCTTGAGAAAAGTTACCGTCTTTTCGCAGACTGAAAATTGTTAAGGGGGGGAAAAAAAAAAAAGTGAATTCTCCAAACAAAATAGTTCCCTAATTTATGGGAGGTTCAGCCCAATTATTTGTCCTAGAAAAGAGATTACACATCAAATCCCACTCAAATTAAAAAAGCAAGATCTATTCCAGCATAAATAGCCAGGAGCAAGTTATCTGGTTAAATGTCAGAAAAATATTCAATGATCCACGGTCAGTGACTGAAAGCTCAAACTGGCCTCAAAGGCAGCTGGGGTGGTTGGGGGCTGTTTTGGGGAGGCATGCATCAAAATCGGGTTATTCGAATGCACTAAACGCTCAAGCATTTGCTTTTAATCAAGTTTCTGCAGAAATATTATCCTTGTTCCACTCAGTGCGAGAAATAGCCAAAAGCTTGGTATCTTCCCACTGCTGACTGTGGGAAATGCGTCTGACTTTTCTAGTGGCTTTGTTGGAGAATTTAAGATTAATCCTTTCAGCAGCATTTCCTTAAAAACAAATAGTCCAGTGAATGATTTCCCATTTTTAGGGGTCCTTCCAAGATGAACCAGAAGATGGCCTGGGCTGGGAAGCCCCCACGGGGGCTGAGAAGAGGGAGGCAGGCGGCTGGCAGCCCCTGCCTGCACAGCGCTGACCCGACCCAGCCAGGGGCAGCCTGGCAAGCAGCTGCCCGCCCCACACACAGAAAACCTGCCACCGAGGATGGGAAAACAGCATTTCTGTCCCAAAACAGGAGGGGAGGCGAGGCTGGAGCCCTCCTTCGCCCTGCACCTCCTCAGAGGCACAGGTTAAGCCCCAACATGAAAGGGAGGGCTTGTTTAGAGGTCCCTGGGGAGCAGCAGCGCCAAAGGCTTCTCAGTGAGTAGAGACACCCAGGGCAGACGACCCCAGCCCCAGCCATTCCTGCCTTCCCGCTCTCTGCCAGCACCAGGGTCTTTTCAGGCTGGGAAATCCATCAGTTAATTGACTAAAAAAAAACCACAAAAACAAACAAAGACAAGCCAATGTACACAGGATTTCCAGAAAGCTGGGCTGGAGCTGAACAGCGCTGAATACACAGCCTTACTTAACAGGCTTTACAAAACAAGCCCGGAGGGTCCCTCCCCTCCCTCATCCCAGCAAGAAGCCAGCCTGAGCTGAGGGGGGGGTTGCTGGATCTGGCCCCAGTCACATTAACCCTCTTCTGCTCTTGCCCTTGAGAAAAGTTACCGTCTTTTCGCAGACTGAAAATTGTTAAGGGGGGGAAAAAAAAAAAGTGAATTCTCCAAACAAAATAGTTCCCTAATTTATGGGAGGTTCAGCCCAATTATTTGTCCTAGAAAAGAGATTACACATCAAATCCCACTCAAATTAAAAAAGCAAGATCTATTCCAGCATAAATAGCCAGGAGCAAGTTATCTGGTTAAATGTCAGAAAAATATTCAATGATCCACGGTCAGTGACTGAAAGCTCAAACTGGCCTCAAAGGCAGCTGGGGTGGTTGGGGGCTGTTTTGGGGAGGCATGCATCAAAATCGGGTTATTCGAATGCACTAAACGCTCAAGCATTTGCTTTTAATCAAGTTTCTGCAGAAATATTATCCTTGTTCCACTCAGTGCGAGAAATAGCCAAAAGCTTGGTATCTTCCCACTGCTGACTGTGGGAAATGCGTCTGACTTTTCTAGTGGCTTTGTTGGAGAATTTAAGATTAATCCTTTCAGCAGCATTTCCTTAAAAACAAATAGTCCAGTGAATGATTTCCCATTTTTAGGGGTCCTTCCAAGATGAACCAGAAGATGGCCTCAAAGCAGGGAAACAGCAGCATAACTCAGTTACCATTGAAACCATCTTGTTTATAGCACATTTAACAGTTCAAACCACTGTGCCTTCCCGCAGTTCCCCTACCTCCATCCCCCTTTCCCTGCGTGTTTGCTGGAGCTGTGCTCATACGGTTCCCGTGGAAAAGGCGATTTACCTGTGGTGTTACCTACTCAGAGGTTACTTCTGCCCATCGCTCCAGTTGTGGATTACAGCACCTTTATCTACTCCATACTGCTGCGGTTTTACCAGAAGCCCCCTAAAAGAACCAACTCCAGCTCCTCTGGTGCCCCCAAACCACTGCTTCCCACCCAGCCAAGCACAAGCGGGTCTGCCTGCTCTGACCCACCACGGGG